GAACCCATCACATCCTCACCCTTCTTTGCCTTTCTCCTCCTTGTCACCTTCACCTCAGCAGTGTTGGGGTCCACCTCAGGAGCCATAGAAGCTTGGTTGGTTTCAGCCTTTGCCTTCCTCCTCCTGGGCACCTTCACCTCAGCAGGCTCAGCGCCCCCCTCAGAATCCACTGCCCCCTCAAGGCGTTGAAAGATTTCGGCATTTGTCATGCCTTCTGTTGAGAACCCACATGCGGCTGCTGACGGCCGAGGCTGTGTCTCTGCGTTGCGGCGTCTCTTGCTCTTGGAAGGCTGCTCTACTATCGCATCAGAATGCTTTGGGTTGTTGTTGTTGTTGTTGTTGTTGTTGTTGTTGTTGTTTTCTTTCTTCTTCCTCCCCCTTGGTTTCTTGGGGCATTGGTTATCTGGGTTCACAAACATGTTTGCTGTCATGCAGGCTGGCCGTTCGAGGTCAGACTTCAGCTGTGATGCCAACTCCTGCAAAAAGAACTGTATGTTGTGCACCTCACGCGCCAAAGTATATATATATATATATATTTTATATATATATATATGTAAAGTGGAACCAAAGATGCGATAAGCCCTAATGTCCTCATCCTCCTTGGGTTCACCACCATGCTCGTTGGTTTCAGGCGCAGCCACGTTTGCCTGTCCACACACAAGGGCAAGATTTGTGCTATAGCTATAATTGCAATTTTCCACTTGGATTGGCCTGTGAAAAAAAGGCCCCCATAAGTCCGCAGGCCAATCCAAGTGGAAAATTAGCTATAAGGAAGTCACATGCAGAGGCTTTCAAAACTAAATTTCCGCACACTTGTGCACAGTGCTAGGGATGTTTGGGCGGGCCTTGACAGGTTCCGAAGCGCCAGGATACCGTTGGAAATATTCACGGATACGTTGGCTATATGGAACAAAGTCGGGCACCTCACATGTGGCCACTGTGCTGACCGATGTATACTTACCTACAGCTCTAGACTCCTATGGTTTACAGCATTAGACACATCTGTGACTCGATGAGGCCTGGTCCTCTCCATGCGGTGGCACTTCAGCTTGTGGAGCCTGCTCCTCAGCAGAGGATCCCACTCACCAAGAATGGAAGAACGCTATGGACTTGACAAAAAGGGGCTTCTTTCACTATCCGCACAACTTTCCTCTAGCTGCACAGGTGGAACGTTGTTCTCGTACACCTCCGCCTCACACACACAAACAGTTATAAATGGGGAATGTCAGACTGATCAGAGTTGCGCTCCACAACCAAGAGAGGTTGACAGACATGCCAATAGAGGTTGAAAGGCTTTAAGAAGAAGAGTGTTCTTCGCGGCCTCCATCGGTTCTGCCTCTAGTCCATCATCACCAGCCTGCTGTGTTGTAGCGGCTTCTTGAGATTAATGATGCAAACAAAGAGCGCCTCATTCAGAGGCACGACAGGCTCCCCACTGTTGGGCTCCATGCTGGGCGCCTCCAATCATTGAACTCGCGGTTGGTCGCTCAAGGTTAGTTTCGTCACGGTTCCACTTGTTCATCAACCTTGCACTGGAAAAGGCTTTTGCGAAGCATTTGTTTGGGTTTACAGTAGCTGTTGAGGGCCTGGTTCTCTGGTTCAACAGGCTCAGCAGCGTTGGCCTCCACAATGGGCTCCTGAAGGCACAAACGTATGCTAGCTGTACTTCTGCATGTGGTATATGTGGAAACGTTGCTTAAGTTTGCAATTTTGCTTTATTAAGGGCCTGGTTCGCCAACTCAACATGTTCAGCAGCGTTGACCTCCACAGTGGGCTCCTGAAAACATGCACTATACAGCTGCCAGCTAGATGACTATTCGCCCTCTGTGAAAATGATATATTGTTTAACTCAACTCTTAAAGGCCTGGTTGTTCGACTCGGCATGTTCAGCTGCGTTGGTCTCCACGGTGAGCTCCTGAACATATGTATATATATATATATGCATACCGCAGCAAGCTACATGACTGCGGTCGTTTTCCTCACGTCCATTGGGGTGTCCAATGAAAAGGCCTGGTTGGTCGACTCGGCATGTTCAGCTGTGTTGGTCTCCACGGGGGGCTCCTGAACACATGTATACGCATACAGCCGTGAGCTACATAACTGCGGTTGCTTTCCTCACCTCCATTGGCTGCACCATTTTGCTGTCAGCCTCCCACTGGAAAGGATGATGTGGACAGGATGCGTTGGTTGGCAACAATCAGAGCCGTTCGTTGACTCAACAGGTTCAGAGTTGGCCTCAACAGCTGGTGGAAACAATCTGGTGCAACTGACATGCTGCAAAAAAAAGATGGCCTGACGAAACATATTGACCTTTGGGCAGGTCTCCTAAAAGCCACAAAATCACAGTATGCATGCGCTGCAGCAATGTATGCGTTGGCCACTAGGACTCCTGGATCAAGAGGGTATCCACAGCATCCAAATCCATAGGGAGCGTCTCCAAAAGGTCCACATTAATGTGTCCTGCACACGAGCGAGGAGAGGGAATCTCACTCAAGCTGTCTCCCTCAATTTTCCTGCACATACAACATATATGATCATATGTATCCTGGAGTTGCCTGTTCTACAGGCTTTGCACAACGTTCGGCCATCTCTTCCAGCCGGGCGAGGGCTGCAAGCTTTTGTTCCAATTCCATCAACATACGCAATTGTTGGTGTTTCCTGGCAACATCAACCTGAGAGCAACAAACCAATCAAAAGAGGACACTTTCACTAATCGCATTTAGGCTTTGCCAGTCAACCCACTGACACACTTCAGGAAACCAATTGCATCAAGAAACAGGCGCCCAGGCAACTGGAGCAGGCGACACCAGTGGCACTACTGGAACTCTAGGTGGTGGGGTGACAATTGCCGGGCTCGTAGGAAGAGTCTCCACTTCAGGTGGCGGGGAAAGGATAGTCTGGCTTGCAGGACCAGTCTCCCTTACCGCCTCCGTGGGCGTTGGCACTGTCAGCTCGGCAGTCTCGACAGGTTTGCCTGCACAGAAATTGGGAACAACATTTTGGAAATCCACACGCACAACCTTGAGCGCATTAACCCTGTTGGAAAAGCACGTGCACATATGTTAGAGCCTAGCCTTCCAGAGTTGTGGTGTTGGTCTCTTCATCTTCCCCAACATCATCTTCACTCTCTGAACCCTCACCATCAGATCCTTCACCTGACACATCACTGTCCTCATCCCCTGCATTTGACTCTGGCTCCGGCCATTCAAAGCCAATAGAAGACATGTATGACCGAATCATAGGGTCACGTGGTCGGTGGGGCCGGCTGGCTAGCCGGTTCTTGGTGAAGCTCAAAAGACGTCGTAGCTGCCACCCCTGACTTTCAGCCGTGAGTCCTTAGGAACCCCATGCATGATTGGAAAGACAACACACGCCGCAGCAGTACACATATAGCACATTGTACGATATACATTCTTTTGGCGAAGCATCGTGGGCATGGAATTTGCATGTAGTCGTAGAGTGCTTTCACGTGCACTGTGCACGTGTTAACACCCACCCTCAACCCAAGGGATTTAGCTGCCAACGTCAAGACAGCTATGTTGCTTTTGATCGTGTCCCGATCAATGACGTCGTCCTGAAGCACTTCCACCTCAATAGCCGCACAGGGAGCTTACACATCTTACACAGCGCGCTGTTTTACAAGGTTCAGTTCCATGCATTCTCAACTAAAATTCTGACAAAGTAACCAACTGCAACTTGCGCGCTTTATCCCTGATGTCCCCCACAGCTTCCCACTCCATTGCAAGCGCAGAGTGCGACATCACTGCTAAGAACACACGGATCTGTCACACGAATGAACATATACCATGTGCATATATGTCAACATGTTGCCACTTCATTGCTGAGCCCCTCAGCCGCAAACATGAAGAGTGCAAACCAAATTGGTCCATGCCAAGGTCGTGCTGAGAGGCATCAACTCTTCGCTGCGCTGCAAAACACGAAAGAAGTGCTGGGCAAAGGGCGGGGATGCGCCTGCTTCACAGTGGCGCCCACCACATGGCAGTATTGAGGTGGTGGAAACCAAACGTATGAACCACTATGATTCCCTGATTTGGCTGGATGCATATGGTTTTGATGGTTTTGAATGCATCTTCCAAAGATATCCATTGAAACTGCACTTCTGAATGCAACTAAAGCAGTTTCGACCTAAAACTGAACGTTTGATCCAAATGGCACGTTTGGAACACTCTTGAGGATTTGTGGCTGTTTGCGGGGCATTTGCGTTCATCGTACCAAAAGTTCAGAACTTTCTGTACGAAGGAAGCTCCAGGAAGTATGATTTTGTTGATGCCTGTGCCACGAAGATGCCCTGGTAACCTCGCAAACTGCCAACTGTGTAATTGATCGAAGGATACGGTGACTGAAAAGAACCCTGGGGATGTAGAAGCTGTTGCACCACTCGAAGCAACACACACACACACGCGTATTATACTATATACATATAAGGAATCAATAGCAACCAGGTCCTTTGCAAATTGAAACCAGGTCTTGGAAATGCTGGTGTCCCACATATATATATATATATATATATACATAGAAGAATGACAAAGAATCATTAGTACGACCTGGTCTCTGTAAAACCCTGAGACATCATCTAGTCATCTAGTCATGTTCTACTCACGTTCTCAAGTTGTCAAACACACAAACACCTCAGCGTTCCTCCGTTCCTCCGTGCCTCAGCGACCGATGTTCGAGAGGCTGTGCAGAGGCGTTCGCCGAAGCAATTCGAACCGTTTGTCGAACCAAAAGCACCAACACACAAACACCACCGCCACCCACGGGGTGGCCTGGAAAAAAAAAAAAAAAACAAAACACACACACACACACACACACACACACACACACGCGTTTTGAAACCACCAGGAGTCCCAAAGGGTTGGTGACTAGTCCCTAAGTGAGTGGATCATGGGCACTCCCAACCTCCATGGATAGCACCCCTTTGTGACTGCTGGCACGTAGTTCTTGTCGTCCTATCTCCGTTCTTGCCGCGGTCCGGTCGCCTGGCTGGGCCACCGGAGGTTCCAGGCCACCGCGGCAGGTGGCGCCGGTGGGGCACGAAGAGCAGGCGCCCAACCTGGACGGCGACGGCGGACGGCGCCGGCTGGGTTCTCGGCTCCCGGTGCCGCTGTTCGCGAGGTTGGAAGACGGTTTTGGGGTGGAGGACCCAGACACGACTAATGGGACTGCCATATATGCTTACATTGGGGTGAGGGGTCAATGTAGGCATATACGACAGCCACGGAGTGTCTGGAGGATGGTGTGTTTTGCGTGTGTTTGTGTGTAGAGGTGGAGGTGGGTGGAGGTGAGTAGAGGCGGAGGGAGAGTGTCTTCATGAGTCTTTTGGATAGGAAGCCATAGGCAGAAAAAAGATGTTACCGGGAGTGCCTTCAAACAAAGACTCACATGGTTTCAAGCACACAGGTTTTGAAGCTTGTACTTAACTTAAACATGCTTAAATGTAGTTAATGGGAGATTCCATCAACTGTAGTCTAAAACTTAGAGAAGCCAGAATCTAAGATGTCCGAAGACAAGGATTCATGCACGAGACATGTTCAAAACACTTCACTGATTCCCTGTTCAAGACGGGGTAACGAGTTCACAGCGACAGAGTTCGCCATCTACAGAGGTCGCATGAGCCATCGAAACCTGAAAGGGTGATTAGTAGAGGGAAAACGCATGGTCAGGGGTGTCTATAAACCAACCTGTCCGTGGTGCTGGTGTGTTTATTTCAATTAAATCAACAAGTAAGTCATATAGTAAGAATGTGTATAATCATGTGCAATTAAACATCCATCTCATGCAATCCTGCTTGGATTTCGGACGCCCGGTCGAAGTACCGCTCCCGCTCCAAAGAACCACACCCACCGAAAGCAAGCCCGGTCGACGCCCAAAGCAGGTCCGCCGCCCAAGGCGCTGATAATTCTCCAAAGCGTTCGCCTCACCCCTCTCCACTTGCTGCACCAAGCGAACTTCTGACCGACGTTCTGCCAGAGGTAGGAAACGGCCTGATTGGGGCATGCGTATGCATGCGTATGCATGCATACGCATGCATACGCGACGCATAGCTCCGCAGTCATCCGCGAAGAAACGTCTTTGTCAAATACTCAGCTTTCTTCATATGAATGATCACATGCTTTCACACGTGCCATCATATCTCACCGCTTTACCATGCTTTTGCCTGACACACTCCGTGGTACGAACATGGTTACATGGATAGCATGCCCCCTGCAGAAACCATGAAATCCTCTAATATATACAAACAGGGGATTTTCCATCCACGTAACCCTGACGATTTCCAGGGAGAATCGAATTCTAGACCATCCTGTTTGGGTGTCCTGTCTTTTTCGATCCCGGATAGTAGTCGGGTGGGGCGGTCGACCCACCTCCCCAGTCCGCCTGGTCGGCACGCGCAATCCAACGGAGACGCTGTGGCATTGCGTGGCGTCATCCGGCCATCTGGGCAGTCGAGGCAAACCTCATAGGGGGTCACGTGAGTCGGAAAGCGGAGGGCGCTGGCAGGCAGGAAGGCGCGGCGTGACATTCGGTGAGGCAGCAGTCCAAGGAGCTGCTGAATAGATCGCATGAGGTCGACCAGGCGATGAAGGTCAAGACCTTGTTTGGTCCAAAACCAGACGTTGTTCTAATGCTTCTGATGATTGAAAACGTTCCGGACTGGGTGCGTTGAAACTCCGTGGTTTGTGCTTTAATTTATAGATAGGATTTGGATGATGATGATGATGATGATGATGATACCGCCAGCCATGGACGCCGCTCAGAGGGGCCGTTGTCTTTTTCTCCGGTCACGTCACGATAGGTCACGGTCACCCAGAACACGGGTCCGACGACCGAAGCGGGGCATGAAATGGCAACCTCCATCGATCGCCATGGCGCCAAACCTTCGGGGATTCTGGGAACGTGGAGACTAACTGGCGACAAACCTTCATGGGTGCAGGATGTTGCAGGTCCAAAAAGCGATGCAATCTTCATGGCTTTTGGAGTCTTTGGCGCCATGGCGTCCTTTGACCATGATGTGTGTGAAAACATAATGGGTAAAGACCTGAACACCCTGAACACCAGATAGACTACGTTGGCACCGACAACTCCGGTGGCACCGACAACTCCCTTATCTACCACCGGCCGGTTCGGTCGATCGCATCAGATCTCACTCCGGTTGGTTCGTCACACCGCAAGCGTTCTGAACATTGAAGGGATACGCGGGATAAGGGGATCGACCCCAAGTGGGAAACCGACTGGTCCTGACATCAACAGGTCCATCTCAGCAAGGTGGGTGAGAGAGATCTTTTCCGACTTGTGTGTGTGGTTGCATCATGTTGCATCTCATGTTGCATCAGGGTGCCTTTCGCCACGAAATAGACACCAACCCCATCATTGGGTCATCTCGAATCAACGATCCTGTCGCTCCTGTGGCCACGGAATGAACACATCACTTCATCTCGAGACCTCCAGGCTTCGCACCTCGCTCGTGCAAGTCCCGCCGAGGAGCGGTGCTGGCACTTTGAAAGGCGTAGCTCCCCTCTGGGCAGCTCTGGCATCGCAGGAAGGGTCCTGCGGGACGGCCGTGCTTCGGTGGGCAGACCGACGGAGCGGCACTGCATCATCCGTTGGGAGCTCTGCGGCACGGCGGTCGGAGCGATCTCTCCGGAGACCGGAGGGCTGGTGTCCAGCATGGTGAGAGCCTACAAGTCACGTTTCGTCGTTTTTTGTATGACCAACTCCAAAATTAGGTCAAATTCGCTGACCATGTATATACAGATATAATAGTCTGGATTAAGATGGGGTTAAGGTAAAAAGAAACACAATTAACATCTTGTCCCTTGCAACTGTAGGCCTGGGACACACCTGGTCTGAATATGTCTGAATTCAAGAATTGGATCTTCCGAAGATTCCAATGGCTCTTCGAGTGTCAGGATCTTTTGCAGGACAATCGACAGCAACACCTCAATTTCGGTGGAGCATCTAGATCCTCCAAATTTTCCTGTAGCAAAAGTACATGAGGTTGTGTAAAACCCCCCCCTACCTTTCCCCATACCACTCACACTCTCTCACATGAACCTGGTCTCCCCAGCCCATATTGAATAACACCGACAGTCCGAGTCTGTTGATTGGCGTCTGCGACTTCGCCAAGTTCGGTGAACCATCGATCCGGCCACTGGGGCGCCCAACGGAAGGGGAGAATACACCGATCGATCTGTCGTTCATGTTGAGACCGACCCACTTGTTGACCCACGATGATTGGTGAATCGTTCCCCAGCAACATCCGATAACACTTTTGGAGATTCCCCGACTTCAACATGTGTAACCGCCCCTACAAAAAGAACGCGCTGGCCAACAAGTAACAGCAACACTGACGCTTTCAGTTGCCTGTCCACCTTGGATGGAAACCTCCCAATGACCGACACCCAGGCGTGGCGCTCCCACCCCTTGGTTTCGGTGGGGACAAACGACCAGGGGGGCGAGATCGAGGTGTCACTCAGCGACCGGGTTTACCAATGCTTTGAAGAAAATGAGAGGTTGATGCCAGGTACCATGTAACCCAACTTGATGGTTCATTGAAGATTGATATCATCACCTCGATTATTGTAATCAATTCACATTGAATATCCCATTCCCTGCGTTCCCTGGGCCCAGTGGATGATGATGGGGCCTGGTTCCAGGACACCCCGGCCCGTGAAAAATCCGGTTCCCGACGCTTCTGATGCTTCTTGAACCCGCCTGGTTTCACCATGTTTCACGTCACTGGGAACCCCTCGTTTTCCATGCAGCAGCACATCATGGCTGACCGTCCGTCGAGACAACCAGTCGAGACCAGTCTCCTGGCACCGGCGTGTACCAGCCAGGCATGCAAGGCACACAGCTCTCGCTGCGGAAGCTCTGGCGCATCGAGCCGGCCAAGCCTGGGGGTCCGAGGTGGTCCAGGGTTTGGTTGAAGAGAAGGACAGGTAGATCGACAGGACACCCAGGGAAACCCATCGTTTTCGGGGTGGACATGTTGGTTTCCTCTTGGTTTTGCTGTAGATTTCCTGGCAAGCATACATGTCTAATGGAAAATCGACAGTGCAAAGGATCAACATGGCCCATCGGTCATTGAGGTGTTGTGGGGACGAAAAAGCCCATGGTTTTCTTGTCCCTACAAGTCCAGTCTGATCCAGTAAAACCAGGTCGTTTGCTTGCTTGAATAGTGCGAACTTGTATGACCAACTCCAGTAAAATGAGGTCATTGACCTGTAGGGTGTAGATGTTCTCATGAACCAATCCATTGAGCATGGCGTGCCAGCTTGGCCATGGATAAAGATCTCATGTCAGCCCAGGCGGGAGGTATGGCAGGGATTCCTGCATTGGGGACCAAACAAGTTGTGCCTCAGTGTCAGATCGTTGCAAGGAGGATGCTCTTTTGGATGTCTAAGCTGACTTGACAGGACATGTTTGGGATATGTCACTGCAGTAATAGCACGTCTTGCTCCAAAACAGAGGGTGCCCCCCACTCAGCTTCCAGCATGAGCTTACGACATGCGGTCGAGCAAAGAGGCGGCATGCACTAAGTCACTAAGCTATGCATCATATAAAGGGTGGACTTGTCTCATGTCCTGCCCTCTATCCCCCAAAGGGCAGTTGATGATGTTTCTTGTGGGAATCTGTACAGCAACTGCGTACGACGGAATTCCAAGGATTGAACCCAGCCACTGTTCCTTTCCATTTACTTTCCTAGAGTTCATGTAGAATCTCCAATGTGAAATCTCCTAGAGTTCATGTAGAAACTCACAAACATGGACCATGGACAAACCTAGCCCCAAGGTGGAGTAAAGGGGCAGCTTCCGTGTTGCTCAAGGAACTGGATCTCTACTTCCACTACCAATATCCGTCCAACAAGCTCGGAAAAAGGTCAGACCCACTCCCCTAAAACCTACAAACCCACCCGTCAAGACCCTCACTATACCGACCCAACCAACAGAAAAGGCATCAAAATTGTAGGGTGTCGTTCTTGGCACAGCAGTGACAGCACGCAGGTCGGTCGGTCCATCACTGGTCTTCACATCCAAAACACAACTCTTGAGGTGGACTTCATGCGTACTCCAATTCGCCGCGATGGGCTTGCAGTCCTGGCCGATGGCGCTGTCCCGGCCGTGGCTGTCCCTGACTCGTTCCAAGTCCCGTTCGACTCGACCGTCGGAAACGGGACGAGGGAGGGGGTGACCACCAAGTCCAGTGGATTCAATTACCATGCCCTAAGGATCCTTGGACCCTCCTTAGAAGGGGCCGAACCCTCTATAACAAGGGTTTGTACCCTCAAAACCCTTGTTTTTGAGGGTGCGGATCCTTAGGGTGGCATGATTATCCATGAATTACCTCTCTGAGACAAGTCACTAGAGCCACAAGTCCAGAATTCCTTGTTCCATCCTGGGGATCCATCGGGGTACAAGTCAACCTTCCCTGTCAAATCCTCTTTTCTCTGCCGAAAAAGGGCGTTGGACGTCAGGATCCCTTCGGGCGGACGGTCTCGGACGTGGATGATGTGGTCACACCGTCGCACACGTGCTGACCCGGACAGCTAGGCAGTGATGACCGTAACTTGTTTGGAGTGAAGATCAGAGTCCACCGGGATTTGACAAAGCACCATCACAGTTCCACATCAACACCATAATCTGGAGTGCCAGCATCCAAAAGTGTTGGAAACCTTTTTGTTATTCAGTGGCACCACCTGCCACCACTTACCATCAAGCCCATCTCCCACCCATTCCATTCATGTACACTGTAGTCCTGTTGAATCAACATCTTGCAACGAAGAGACAATCCAACTGGGGAGCTTCTTTTTGTTGCATCCACATATCTCCAAGTACCAGGAGTCACAAGACGGGGTGCTATCCATGGAGGTTAGGGGTGCCCAGCTACTCCACTCACTTGGAGACTAGACGCCACCCCTTTGTGACTCCTGGTAAATATATATATATATATATCCACATACACCACATCATCTGAAATTCCTCGTCTCCCGGCGTCCACCTGGCCGCGTGACCTCTTCAACGGCGTCCAGCCCGGCGAGCGTCCCTCCGGAGCTCGTCCTCGGAGCTCTCGGTGGAGCTGCTGCCCAAGGTGACCCACACCGAAATGGGCACCACCACATCGATGGCTCCCGTGCCTCGGACGAGGCAGGTGAAGGAGGAGGAGGAGGAGGAGGAGGTTTGCAAGGAGAAGGTGCAGGATTTGCTTGAAGGAATTGGATATTTGATGATATGTGTCTTGTGCACTGGGATGTGGAGCTTCTTTTTTCTGATGCCTTTTTTGACAGACTGATGCAGACAGCGTTCTTCCCGGGCCTCAGGGTCGCTCGGTTCCGGGGCGCTTCCAATCGCCCTGCTTCGACCGGTTCAGTCCTATTGGATCTATGTGTCTTCACTGGACTGCTCGGTAGAAGATCAGCAAAACCCCCTCAAAAGACTGGAGATGTAAAGAACCGCAAGCCTAGAGATGTGGCCTTGGAGCCTGTGGATCAACTCAGGTTCTAGATTCTATGTATACACTGCACTGGTTGATTGGATGACTACAGACGGATGATGCAAAGAGCCAAACCAATAGTTGCCGGAAAAAACGGCAACTCAGAGTGGCTCTTTTGCGAGCTGCTGACGATTGCGTTTGAATTGCCTTCACATTTGCTATCCTCCAACCCTGATGAGTCTACCTCTACGTCCCAACTAAGAGATCCCAAGAGTAGAATCTCCTCGAGAGCGCCAAAAAGAGTTCCAATGCCTGGAACCCCAAACAACCAGAAAGAAATGGTTGTTTCCCCAAACAACCATTTTCTATGTAAAGGATTTCAATTGCCATATTGGAACAACCATTTGTTTCTGGTTGTTTGGGGTTCCAGGTGGAACCAATGGCTGTGTCCCCTACCATCATCTACCCACATATCTCACCGACTTCATTACATACTCGAAGCCGGACAGTCTCACGGTCTCACGGCCACCCCGTCCGGCCCCCCGGTCATGAGGTCCCGTCTGCACGAAGGAAGCGGCGGTTGAAAAACATGTTTCAGCTATAGATCTACCCTAGGGATCCAGCCGTACCATGTCGTACCTTCTCAGAATTGAAGGTGATTGGAGACACTGTTATGTAGGTTTGGAGGGTCCAAGTACCTTCTGAGAAGGTACTTGGATCCCTAGGGCTAGGGCATTGGACTGAAACTCGAACCGGGACAAACCCGATGTGAACGATCGACAGATCTGCCACGCTAGTTCCATACCCTTCCAAGCTCCCATTCAATTGGGAGAAACAAAGACAACGTAACCTGTGACCAGAGGTAACACCTTCGTTCTCCCCTTTGGTGATTCCATAGATCTCAATCATCTGGTGGCACCCAGTCTTTCCAACAAGCTGCTGGCATTTTCTGGAGGATCCGGATACAGCTCCAACAAGTCATCACCTCAGGTGCCCAAGGCCTGGTATTTGCTGATCCCAGAAAACCATGCCATGGAGTCGCGTTTTCCGATCGCTTTGGGATTTCCTGATTTCCAACATCCAGGACCTGGCAAAAAGAAACAAAAACTTCATACTCCCCACAAAGAGGCTTCACCTATCCGGAAAAAACATCTAATTACATCCCGATCTGCCCAGGTGTTCGGCTATTCAAAGAATGAACAAATCTGTCAGTCAAATCTGTCAGTCAAATCTCTATCCCCCTTCCCCTCCAAGCAGGAACTGAAAGTGGAAGCGACCTGGGGCGACCATCCCACTGAACCGAGACATGTGTCGCTCTGGCGTGTCACATGTCAGATCTCTTAGGCCGGCCTTTTCGAAGACAGAGATCGGAAAAGCAGCAGGTGTTATGATATGTTATGATTTTGGAGGTCATTCCAAAGTCGTTTGGTTTAGGGTCATGCCGTGACTAAATAAGTCAACCAATAATTTTGTCCGTCGCTCATATAGTATCTGTCCTTGTATAGACTACTTTCTGATATTCTAGATACCTGGTAAATGCTTGTAGAACCAGTGATGTGGGGGTTCCTCTACCAAACGTTCACTGGAAGACAGGGTCCAAATCGCCATTTATGTCAACCCTCCAAAGGCGACCTTCCTCAATGACGGGACCTCGCCGGAGAAGGGTGCTGGTGGTCCATGGTAGTCATTCTTAGCCACCTTTCTTAGCCACTTTCTTAGCCTATTCTCCTGTTACGGAGAGAAATTCAGATCAAAGACATGAAGCATTGTCTTTGTCTTGTAGATGAATTTTGGCACGGTCCCGAGCGTGCCAAAGAGAACATTACCCAGATTGGCCCAGTGGCGCAAGGGACCGTTCATGACGCAAAAGAGCTGCTGATCTGCTCGGATGGTCACCTCTGCAACAAAGGCTTCGCTCGACTTCGGACTGGCAGTGGCAGTGGTTGAAGAAACTCTGACGTACTTCAAAGTTACCATGAACCTTTTTGTAAACCTTTTCTTTCTTCCTTCAAATGATGAAACATGTGTTCTTGATTGTTCTTGCATGTTTCCCTTACAAAAGTGAATTCTTCCAATTTGTTTTATCTTAATGCTGGAAGAATTATGTAATAATTAGTAGCCTATACTATACTAGCCTCTATCTACTAGCCAGCTCGCCAGCTAGTTCTTCAAACTCTCCCCCAAAAGAATCCGCACCGAAAAAAGAAGAACCACCGGGCTGGCCCCCCGCGAGTCCGGCGAACCAAAGACCCCCCAAACCCGCTCGCATCCGGTCTCTGTCCAGCGCCTCGCAACTTCGGTCGCCCACTAAGACCTGCGTCCGCCGCGGACGGACATGGCCTCTCTTCCCCCCCAGTTGTCATGCACGAGATCCGCTAAATGTTATCGTCACCATCGATGTCTGAAACTCGGACGGACGATTTGCTCCAGAGATCCGGTGCCGGACACGTGACCCAAGCACTTGTCCTCCTCACCCAGCCAAACCCCTGCGAAGACGTCCAACGCTGCCTTTCGGCCCGGTCCACGCGGCGTGGCGTGCGTTCGGCGCGCGCGCGCGCGCGGCGGTTCGGGCGGTGCCTGCATCCGCCCGTTCTCGGGGGTTCCAAAGTTGATGCCATCCAAACGGTAGGTGAGGTCGCCCACCTGACGACCGGTCGACCGGAGCGAGCCGAGCGAGCTGCGACGAAACGAAAGCGGCGTGCCCAGGCAGTTTCTGCGCACCGCCGCCGAATCAGGTGGGGTCCAAAAGCAGAGGGGGTGGAAAGGGTCCTGAATAGGCCAATCTCCTCCTATAAACCCCGCCTGGGGCTTTTAATGGACACCCTTTCCGTGGTGCTGGCTCTAAAACAGGATGATTGGCAAGTTTTGAGATTTGATTCGGATGTAAAAGGATGCACATGGTGTTCGGATCCTGGTCGGGAGTTGATATTGGCCGGGATGCTGTTTTTTTCGTGATCAAATAGTATATCACAATGTATCACACAAGCGACACCCACCACCACTGCAAGATCCAGGTATACCTGGACCCTCATTCAGGCTCAAATTTCTGCCTGTTCAAGAAAATCTGCCTGAACCAGGGTTTGTCCTTAAAAACAGCCTGCGGGCAGAAATCCTTATTCGGGCAGATGCTGCAAATTACTTGCAAAGCACCTAAGTTGCAAATCTGCAGTTTTGAAGCTTAATGTTCGACATTTCAATTCGGGCGAGAATCGGCGTGATTCGGGCGTGAATTTTTGTGATCAGGCGAGAATTTGTGTGATCGGGTGGATTTCGTAGACTCAAGTTGCATTGCATGTATGCATCACTCGCAGAATAAATAGAATAAGCAAAAACACATTCGGGGAAGAATTCCAGGGTCGGGCGTGAAAACCATGTTTCTTGGCAGAAATACTATAGAAATACTGAATGGATTCGGGCTGGAATTCCCTGGTCGGTATATCCAGGTCCACGTCTCTCATCTTGGACGACCCAGCGACCCAGCGGACCTGCGACCGACTCTGCCCGGGTCGTGCGGCGTAGAACGAAGGCCTCGATGGGGAGCGGTCGCCCGGGCGTCATATCCTCCACCGCCTGGATTTCGGGCTCCGGCAGCTTCAACGGCACCTGGCGCAGCTGTCGTGCTGTTTGGGGTGGTTTGGGGTGGACCGGGCCGTTCAGTGATATTCATATGGTAATGTGCTTCAAATTCCCAGACACTGGTATATTGACCGATCAGTTGGCGTGGGCCATGAGGGGTCTGTCTGGGGCGGCAGTCCTATGACAGTCCCATGGAGTGTCTCAAATTGGGTCAATTGAAAGCCAACGCCACAAGGTTGGTGGGTTTGGGTCAGCGGATCTATATGCAGCGGATGTGACATAAAATTAATGATGTTTAAAATGAGTCGCTGTAGGTGGAAAAAACTTGCAGAGACGTTGCAGGGGGAGGTATTGCCACAACTGTTAACGTTTCTTGCACGGCCCTGACAGATATATACCTGACCTATAGATCCAGAATGCCTGCCACCAGAATCCGTTTGCGCAAGGCTCCGAGGATGCTAAAGAAAGCTTCCTTTCACATCCTTTGACTCTCTCCATTGTTGACTTCAATATCGCTTCACTCCCAGCCCAAAACAGCCAACCCTCCCAGCCATCCCAGCCCACTCCACCCATCACTCCACCTGCCCACTCCCTGCCACCCGTCACTCCACCCGCCCACTCGCGCGAGGGTCTCGCGGCGCCGTCCGGGTCGCGGGCACCGTTTGCATCTCCGTCGTCAGGTCGCCCCAGGCCACCACGATGTCCACGTCGCGGCACTTCGCAGGCGTCAGGTCGATCCTCTGCGCGCCCCGTAGGCGCGGGTGTTCGGCGCGGTGCGGTGCGCGGTACGGTTCGGCGAGTCGGAAGACCGGTGGTTCCGCGCCGGGAAAGGTATATTCGGTATATAGCGTAAGGCGCCGGAAGTCACGCTGCCCTTGGGGTCATCAATGTAACCTCATGTTGAACTGGAGTTGATGGAAAACCACTGTAACATTCCACTAGATTACTCAATGAACCTGAGGTTTTTGCAGGACGGTTTTACATGGTTTTACTGGGTTAGGACTGGACTTCGCTGGACTTGTTAGGGTGGACTGGGGTGGTTTGAGGGATCTGGTGGTGCCGTACAGACATCCATCGGTCCCATCGGTCGTGTTGGACACTTGGAGATTCGGAAAAAAAAAAACCTCCGAATCGCTGGCGAACTTCGCACAAATGGCACACACACCGGTCCTGTCCACTCACATCCCATGTCCCATCCGGGCCAAGTGAGGAACCAAACAGTCCGAAACGTTGGTCGCCCCATGTCGCCACCGAGAACGCACCGAGAACGCACCAACGAAGCCGACGCGCGCGTCAGCGCGCGGGCACGTGCTGACGCGCTGACGCGCGCATCGTCCCAATTTGGCCAATCACCGTGCCACGGGAAAAGACGGAGTTATAGTGGTTTCAGAGTAGATGGCACTGTCCCCCCCTAAGATGTCTTTTACATGGGGTCTATATAAACCACCGACCTCGGGGATGGTCCCCGGTCACCGTGCCTGGGCTTCATCTCGCAGAGCAAATGGGTCTGGTTCACGCGGATCAACGAGGTGCACACCTCACCTGGATGGAATCCACCGGCCTATCTGGAGGTGTCTGGTTATGATATATTTACATTGGCTTTGAAGGGGGTTCAATGTAGGCATATGATGAGAAACATGGAGTGTGACACAGCATGGAACATGTGAACTTCGCATCGCCATCTGGGGAGGTGATCAGCATTCGTGTCCGTCAGGGACAGAGGTGTGTCATTAAAACGTATATACAGTACCGTTCACCTCGCTTCTATAACCTTTGCACCAATCAAATCATGTGGATTCGTTTTGTTCCCGAACCCCAGGCACCAAAATCCATCTCCCTAGGCCTCCAAGTACCTTCTGAGGAGGTGTTTGCGGGTGGTTTGGAGGGTCCAAATACCTTCTGAGGAGGCACGACTGGAGGTGTATGGGTCTATACATCCTGAGGAACAGTATGCTCACCTTTTTTTTGGTCATACGGAATTTGACAATTTTTTTGGTCATTACGGTTTTTGCCCAAATACGGGCATAATATTGTTTCCTCTCTTGACTCAATAGGGTACCATATTTGGGTGTTCCAACGCAGTATTCGCACTAGTATGTTGGAATATGGTTACCGTTGTTTTTCAAAAAAATATTGAAAATATACTAGTATCATACGGGTACCCCCAAATATGCATGCAAACATCAGTTCCCAGTCATTCAACATGGAGTCCCCCAGAGAGATGTCCGTGCCCAAATACGGCATATGCACAAAAAAGGGGTCAAAACGGCTGAGGCCATAGTGATCAAAAAGACATGATCATACGGGTTTCCAGGATGTCTATACTGAGTCTATACCATTCGATCTAAGGTGGAAGTTGTCGCTGTTCCATCACCAACATCGGGTACCCAAGCATCTAAAGGCCCAAAAGAGGAACCAATCGCCCCAAGCATCTCGCTGTGACGGTCGAGGAACCGCCCGACGCGCATCCGATTCTCGTCCAGGAGATCGATCGATCGGTCCGGTCTGGCCATGGCATGTGGTGCGAGCAAGCGCTCAAGCAAACAGGTGGAAGCGACCACAGCGGCCCAACAAAAAAAAGAATCAGAATCACCCACACAAAAACGTGTGGGTTGCTAGTACGTGTTTGAGGGTTTGTGGGGTCCCTTCTATAGGAACGAACCTTAAGAGAATCCAATGGTTTGGTGCTAGATAGATGCTGCATGCAAATTGCGATGTGCAGCTGTCCAAAGCAGCTGGGACTACAGGTGGGCCAGTGGGACATCTCCATGTATTACCAGCACCCTCCCACAGGTGCTTCCTGGTGACAAGTCCGGTGCCCAGAAACCACCTGTTCGGGTCGGCCAGGAGGCTGCGATGTCGCAACCGCCACCTGTCCCTTGGGAGGGATCCTTTGGAGGACATTAGATTCTCAGGATGTCCAACTATACATTTTGCTACACCAAATAATTACTCGATGCAGTTTTTGCTTTTGAATCTGTGGAAGATTGCCTGCAAAATCCTCCCTCCGTCCGGTCGTTCGCTGTCCGGCCCAGTGGCTGGTGGAAATGCCTGCCGCCACCGGGGAGAGAGAAGGAGTGGAAATGGCAACTCGACCAGAGCAGCCAGCAATCGACCGGGAAATCCTTGAGACCTATGACCTATACGAACGAACTCGAAAAAGTGCTGGTGGTTTTGTGGTGCAACCTTTTTAGTCGCAATGCTTAAATATCTTTGTGCTGTGCAAGTTTTCCCTTCAAACATTATCATTTATATAAACGCTCCGTCTCCACTGCTTAACATGAGCTGTGGCTTGGACAGATTCGCCAGTCGCGAATCATATCAATGCTCCGTGGCCATCGACCCACCACCTGTTTCTGAAGAAGAACACGTCCTTCTTCCCGCGCCTTGCAGTTCCCGTGCCGTCACCGAGCGTTCGCTCTCCAGTCGACGGCCGGACTCGTAGCCGACGACGCCATTGTCGTCCTGGGAGCGCGGCAGGGAAGGATGGCGACCCCATGTCCAACCGAACGGGAAGAATAGAGGGGTCGGTGATACGATATACGGAAGCAGCACAAATCATTGTGATTTAAATCGAAAACGGCGGAATTGGAGATTCGCTGCAATTTGCGATTCTGCCTTTTTGGCTCCTTCGAGCCCTGAAAAACCTGCTGATTGCTTTGAGGTGCAGCTCTTGCACTGATTAGTTCAGTGGCGGATTCTTTCCAGAGGTGGCCCATTGGCAGCCCCACTTTGCTCAGAATTTGTTTTGGATAAAACGCCAGTATGACATCTCCGACTCCCTTCAGCGAAAGCAAGCCTGAACTTCTCTAGGTCTGGTGGATGAGCGCATCGTGCCGAAACTGGTGGGGATTTGGCATTCTCGAAGCTGATAGAACTCCTGAAGTTCCCTCCGTTCTGGTCTCAAGTTTCTGCTGGCATCTTTGGCAAGCAGGATGACTTAAGTCGGTGGCGTGGGTCTCCTCTTAGCCTCATCAACCGAAATTGAGAAGGCTTCCATTGAGGACACCAGAAGTCAGCAATGAGCTTCACGACATGAAAGTTCATCTGTCCACCCAGGCTCTGCACCCTGCCAAGAAAGGAGGATGCCACCTGTCAAAAGCTTCTTGCGGAGCGCTTCGTTGACCGCGAAAGCTTTCCGTGGCCAGCATCTGATCCGCCATGATCACATCCAACTGGCTAACGCTCGGGAAAAAGCAGGGGCATGGAGAGTCAGTGACCACTAGACGCCAGACCCACTAAGGCCAGGACCCACTAAGGCCAGGTGGCCATTCTGCCGCGACCAGTTTCTCTGGCGTTTTCGGGGAGTTGTTCAGGTGGGTGCAAGGTTGTTCAGGTGGGTTGTTCAGACTATCCACCGTGGCTGGACACGTTTGTTCCAAAACCATCTGCGGAGAGGCCAGGTTCTTTGTCGCTCCGGGTCTCACCGAGCCTTCTCAAGTTGGCTGTCCTGAGGCTGTGTTTCGCTTGGATTTCTTGCAAGTGTGGAAGTGTTTTTTGTGTGGGTTGGGCAGAGATCTCTCAGGCAGTATTGTGAGTTTGGAAGCCAGCGAAGTAAAATATGCGTTGTTTTTTGCTTTTGCTATGGGTTTTCTCATGAAATGCAATGATTTCAATTTTATATGCAAATGATTTCAATGTTACTTGGACCTTCTATGACGCATTGTGATTTTGTTATGGCTTTTGTATTGCTTTTTGGGCCTTCTAAAACACATTATGATGTCGCTATGGTGTTTAAAGGTCTTTCTTGGACCCTCTAAAACGCATTGTGAATTCGTTTTGTGGTGTTCAAACAGCCTTCCTGGACCCCCGTACGCACATCAATATTTTTGTTATGGTCTTCTTGTGGCCCTGTTGGTTCTCCAAATGCACGGTATAGCTTCGTCACTTGTTTCCCATAGCCGCTTTTGATCTCCAAAAACAGATTGTAAAGTCAGTGGCAGCCTGACAGTGTGGCAAACAAATAACGGCGGTAGGACATTGTTAGAAATGGCAAAAGGAAAGACATACGAGGTGAACCTGATGTCCATGAATGAGGCGAACCAGTGACCTGATGTCTGTGACCATGTGTTCGGCATCGATGCGATGAACTGCGACACCCCGATGCTGTAAAACGTGACGTGCCATGCAGACGTGGCTTTCACCCACTTCACGTGGTGACCGACCACTCGTGGGACAGACCGCAGCGAGGAAAGCCTCGTGTGACGCCGATGGGATGGCGCTTGGAAAGCCTCTCCAGGGCCGACTTGACGGACTCACGAGTCCAGACTCATCGCACCAAGAGCCAAAGCATAGGGTTGGCATATGGCCTAAGTTTTGTGGAGTCCACATTGATGCGTCATTCCTCATGCGTCATGCTGATGCGTCATGCTCGTTTGCTGGCGTTGTCTGATTATTGATTGGACCCAAGCTCAAGCTTTCCATCAAACATGCATAGCTTGAACGAAGCTGCTGACCACTCCGCGAGAACCTGCCAAAAGGAGCGTACTGGAAGTATATCAAACATGTGTTTGGCAACTCCCTTTAACCCATAGAAAGAACCATAATTTGACTTCATGAGTGGTTCATACCAAATCCATAACAAAATTGTTAAACAAAAACTACACACATTTTTTGGCTACTTGACAACTTATAAAGCTAGGATACTTTGACAGCGAGGGTACAGTAGCCAGGAGTTCATTTTCCCTGCTCGCTTACAACGCGCGCATTCATCTTTCGTGCATTCATCTTACAACCCTCCGCTGCGCTACATTCATTCATTCATTCATTCATTCGTTCGCTCTTCAACTATCCGAACGAACGAAGCTTTGCTTGGGCAAATGTGACGGGCAATGATAACACATTGTTGTGCGGGTGGCTCCTGTGTGGCTCCTGCGACGTTCGGTGGAGAGTTTTGGCCATCGGCGTCCAGCATTTGAAGCAGCGACGCAGCGAAGCACCTGATTCTGTCTCACTTGTCCCTTGATGTGCTTGCTACACTGCCACAGTTTTCGATCCTGTGCTGTGCAGGTGCTTCATCACATGACAGTGATGACCAGGGGCTACAAAGTTTTGGCACAGGAAGCACGGACCTTGAACATCATCGCCTTTTGGGTTGAAGCCGAAGTTGCAGTCATTGGATCACATCGCAAAGACTTGAAGAGGCGAAGCCAAGTCAGGTATGGCTCTCCATTGGTGTGGCCCTCCCAATGAGTTTCTTATGCGAAGCAGAGGAATTTTGTTGGTTCTTATCGCGCCTCGCACGATAAGTGTGTCTTCACGTGCAGTCAGTCATCGGCTCATCGATCGAATTTCCACAAGGCTACCTCATCAGTTATCCCCAAGCTGAGTAAGCTGAGGCCTCGGTGTAACCGGTGTAACAAATAAGACGTGTTTGGACCACAAAGCATCTACAAAGCCAAAGAACAAGGCGCGATTAACAAGCCATCAATGATTAATGTATCTCTTTTCCTTCCTCTTCAACTTCCTCTCTCTTTCTCACTCTTCACCTTCTTCACCGTCTGGCAGCGGACGCAACCTTGGGTGGGGAGTGGATGTGGTTACCGGCGGTGATTTTTGACACGGCATCTTTTCATGCCAAACCAAAACGGCTGAAATAAGTGCCGTTTGAAGATCTACACTTTACTCAACTTGATGGTACACTTGAGGGTGTCACCTCTATCAGTCAACCATATCAAACAATCGAATCAATGCTGTAAAAGAACAAGTATGGTTCAGACTTTCTAGATCGATGGGCTGCAAGCAGATTTATGTTGAGCACGTACGATGTCGTGGTATACGTAGATTACAGTTTGTGGTTGTTACATGATACTTTGTGGTTCTTCTACATTTACATACATAAACCGCCCTAGAAGTCCAAAGACTATATTTTGACCAACTGAAGTAAAGGACCTTCCCAGACTCGGGTCACCTAGTCAAACCATTCTTTTGATAGTCGACTTGACTCCCAGGGTTCGTCTGTGTCTCTCGCCGTTCGCCGTCTTCCCCCCAACGTCACGGCCGTTCGACGTCTCCTGAAAGTCTGGAAAGTTTTGGCCGATGATGAAGAGCCTCGACCGTCAAAACCACGGCGGGGTCCCGGGCGTGGGGTTGCGCGACCGGTGGAAACATGAGATGATGATGATGTGTGATGTAACATGATAACATCATATGATATGTGGAGATAGTGTGAAACTGTTTCATGGAAACAATTGGATAGATGATGATATATATGATGATTGTTTGTGTGTGCTTTCTTTTGGAGATGCTGGGAACAGCCAAGCAAGAATAGGAATGACTGTACTGTAGTCAATTTCCAAAGATGGATGTGCATCCATTTGCAGTAACTGGCTCCTCAGTGTGTTTTCTGTTGTTATTGCCGCCCCAATATAAAGGCCCTACTAGGCCATGAGGATCTTTTTTCAATGGTCATCAGGATGAGTTTGAGATGGTTTCCTGGAGCAAGGAACATCCTGCCCCTGTTAGAATGTGTGGTTTCGTATTAAAATTTGCTGTGTTCGGCCGCTGAGTGTGGTAACACCTGGCTAGGCATGTTGATGTGTGGTTTGCTTGATTCACGGTATACCCTGGCTGTTGATGTAGAGGTCACTGTGAGGTTTCATCCGACAATCCAATGTAATCAATCAATATGCCACACATATCCACATTTGCAGAAAAGGACAGGATATGCTTTGTGAATTTGTGGGCTAAAAGGCGCCCAACGCTATAATCCTTCTGAGATTCTATGTTTCTTAACGTTGAATACAGGCAAGTCGTTTGGCATTGTATATTGGTACTGCAGGTCTACAATCCCCGTAAAACTCTGTTCTTGACGCTTTAGCGGTTGGGTTTGAGCAGTGCGGTATCACAAGCTCTGGTCATTCTTAGGTCATAGAGTTGTCAAGTCATGTCAAGTGTCTGTGATCCTCGAAAAAATAGAAGTAATTCCCATCTTCAGCCTGCTAACCCTACTAAGATGCCCAAAGTAGCCCAACCGCTTTGGATCTCAAGAAAAGCGGCTGACCACCATCCACGATCTGCAAGATGGGTTTGGAGAAGTTCTGGATCACCGGTGCTTTGTACCCTGGGCATCGCGGAGACCCGCGTGTGCTTCCACCGGTGACGCGTCGTGTCGACACCGGGTGAAGTCCGAATTGGCTCAGTCCGTGAAGGCCTGGGGTTCGTTGCTGCACGAACTTCCGAGATGGACACGAGGTTGACAGACATTCTTTTAGGGTCACCCATGATACTCTGCAGATCGCACGACACGTCCAGCACCAAGCCCAAGAGAAATGGTCGCAGACGAAAAATACAGAGTCATGAACATCACTTCCCCATACCCAAAGACTCTATGGTTCACTGGCGTGTGGCTCTTCCCGGCCTTTTCACCTCTCAAATCAACGGAGTTTTCTCAGTCAGGACTGCTGCTGCCAGTCCCTTCCGACGCGGACGCGGACACCGAACGCGGACGCGGACGCGGACGCGGACGCTCGGGTGGACCCTGGACGGTGATGCGCATGCATCGGGATGCGCATTGGACGAACACAACGAGTCACGGCCAACGAGTCCATTTGTCTCAGTGTTGTTCGTAGGGTATGTCTCAGTGTTGTTCTTTCATTTGTCCTATATGTTCTATTTGTCTCAACTATCTTCAATGAACATAGAACCCTATAGCCTATGGATGCCTATATAGCCTTATCACATATCAACGAACACCTCGAACGAACACCTCACAATGGTGACGTGGAGGTTCACCACCACCTGTTTGGCATTTGGTATTTGGAGTCATCCAATGGTGCCATTGTCCATCCACCATCCATCCACATAACCAGGTTAGTGGAAGTCCAGTGCCATGAAGTGCTTGGGATAGGGACTACACTCCAACTCACTAACATGGAAGTGGACAATCCGCTGTTTATAGAGGATTTCATGGTCTTCCAGGCGCCAATGCCATCCACTTACCATCATGTGATGTGTTGGTCAGAGTGTATCAAGAATCAGCCATGACGAATATATAGTGGATAGAGTCCATCCAAACTGGAATCCACAAGCACGCATCATAAGCATGCATAAGCAACCCAAACAAGAGTAGTTCAGGTCGGCCCTAAAGTGGTTGGCTTTCATCTTTCATCTGCTGTTCCCGGTGATTTCAATGACCTACAAAACCAATGACCTCCTTCTAGCAAGTGGTAGGACAACTCCCGGTCAGATCTTTGCTTCACGAAACAATACAAAACGGACAGCACCAGGACGGGACCACCCCCTGGACTTCTTCCAAACCACCACCCGAGACACTCCACACTCCATGTATGGATACTTACATTCACCCCTCTTCAGCCACCCCTGGCCTGAAGCCGGTCAATCTGCCAGTCCCATGGAGCGTTTGGGACGTCTTTCGAAACGAGTTCAGACTTCGCCAAGAGGCGAATCTTCCAGGGCACGACCAGGAGCTGAGTCCTTGAAACGACTGGCGGTCCGCCTTCCAGGGCCTTCTGGGGGCCTTCCGGGGAGAACATGCGAACAGACTCCGCAGACTCGGTGTGTGGGCTTCGACTTGGTGACCCAGGAAGAAGTACCGCCCAACTTGGCCTCATTTAGCGCTGGGATCCTTCGACTTGGTCAATTGAGATCAGTACCTGCCTTGCTTGGGGCTTCTTTTTCTCCGAAAAAGCCTGCGGAATCGCATGACCTTTTGGTAGGCCTAGGCTTTCTCCGCTGCTTGAACAATGATTTGGAGACCGTTCAGCATCGATCATCGCTGAGAATCCTTAAATATCACTAAGGCAAGGGTGACTGATGCTCAGGGGGAACAACTCTGACACTACTCTTGAAGAATATGGCACAAAAATCAGAAAACTGTTGGACTGTTGGAAAACAGGTCACATGTTGACGCTCAAAATGCCGCTGTTGATGATGGATTACCACCCACCTTCGACAACGTGTTCGACTGGAGTTAGGCGTTGGGTCCTTTTGTCTAGGTTGTGACTCACTGTCCTACAAACCACCACAGTGGTGTGTACACTAGTGGTGGTTGTGTACCAGTGGTGGCTGTGCACCAGTGGTGGTTGTAACAGTGGTGTGCACACCACTGGTAGTTGTACACCAGTGGTGGGTGTCCACCAGTGGTGCTTGGCTCAGCTGCTGCTGATGTGTCTTTTTAGCTGGACTGGGATCAACCATGAGCTGATGTTATTGTTCTAAGTAGAAGTCATATCTCTTACTGTTCAATGGTGCTTGGATCAACACTTCGATGTTCCTTTCTAGATATGACTTCTACTCCAACGTAAGATCTCGATCCATCACATGCTCAATACTGCAAACCCTCTCAATTGAATCCCACAAAAAAAACATTCATGTTGTAAAGACTTCCCCAAGCCCAGAACGCATGCATCGTCTTTGGAGAAGCTGCCAATAAATCACTCAATCCGACTCAATCGCCATCCAACCTTGCAATCTTCAGCCATTCCCAAACCCAGAAGCCACTTCCCTCTTTTAAATGGGTCGCTCCATGTCCATCTTTACCCCCACCCCCCCCCCGGGGTCTTCCACCGCCAAACCCTTGACGCACCGAGCATCTCATCCATGGGGCCCAGCCTTGGGTCCGATCCGCTCGCCGCTCCGCTCGGACTGCGGGTTGCTCCGCTCGTCGGGACGGCTGAACAGGCGAACAGCGGGGGGGGTTGTCTGCCAACCGGTGATGGGTTGTCTGCCATCCTGACAGTAATACTGAGCCAAAAAAAAGAACCTTTTAATAAACCAACATGGAAGTGTATGGCGTGGTGCCTTGGAAGACCCTGAGCATCGTGTTGCTGTCCGATTCTCTTCACCAGGGCTCGTCACCTAAGCACAGTTCTCATGATTGACTCGCCACCACAAACAATGACCGCTTGCTTTGTGGCAATTCATGTACGATATAGAACGGTCCCCAAGCACAAAACAGCACCGAAAGACATGTTTCAAAAATATGCTGAAGGACTGTTTTTAAACTGCGGCCTGGTAAAGATCACCTATTTATAGATGGCAAATGCCAGAATAAAGCAACCTTTTCCCGTGTCCTTTAGATTTAATGCCTCTGGATGGAGGACCAAAGGTCCCGCAACCCTTGACATATTATAAACAACCACGTCCAATTCTTTCCAATCCATTCTTTCCCACTAAACTACCAAACCCTGGCCATAAAAAATCAAACAAATCAATCCGTTCCCACCAAAGAAACACAAAACCGGAAAAAGCATGAAACCAACGCCCCGTACGCCGTGCCGCCGCGCGGCAGGAGCATGACCAATGGACTGGCACCCTTGGGTGCTAGCCGACACCACATCTCCGTGTAACTCACCCAACCAGACTCCTGGCGTTCGGAGTCATCGTGGGACCGGACCGACAGGATCGGTAGAGTAAGATAGGTTGGGTGTATCCCAGACACCCTGGGCCCAGTGGATGATGGTTCAGTTGCATGACATCCATCTCTAAATATCGTGATTTAATCCTTCACGGACTGTTCCAGGTTTACTGGGGCACCCTAAGAAAGGATAGGAACAGCAGTAACTGAAATCGAGCAACTCTTTCAGTATCTTCACCGGATTCCTTACAAGACATGATTCCTCCACAATCCCAGGAGTGAGTCAGGCGGTGTTCACGATTTTTACTCAGCATGATCTTCCGGTTTCGATGTCCATATGATTGATCCACAATAGGATGACACCCGAAATAGGTAGACACCCTATATGACATCCATATGATTGTCCTATATGTCTTATGATGTGTATGTTGATAGGTAGACACCCAAAATCTTGCCCCGAAGTCATCGCCTGGATAGACTGGTCGAGTCGACCATTCCCGAGTCAAACCCAGGAGGTCGAAAGGAGGTCGGTCTCCCAACTTTGAGCTACACACCAATACCCAAACACTCCATGGGACTGCCATAGATTCCGATCAGGCCAGGGGTGGTTTGGGGGGTCAATGGGGCGGCATATATGGCAGTCCCATTGAGTATCTGGGATATGGCCTAGAAATGCCCTAAGCCTCGCACCGAGAAGAGAACACCGACCCTCCTCCCAAACAAAACACTTCTCAATCCGCCCGTCCATCGCCTTTATCGCTACAAGATGCCTTTGAGTGACATGGCCCCCGCAGTGCCATCACATCCCAACGGCTGGAGCCTAGACACCCCAGGCAGAGACGGACACCCACCCACCCCGCACTAAGATCGCCTCGCAGAGCTCCGTGGTGTTGTAGAGCTGCGTGACCGAGATCCGCATCAAACCTCGGAGTCCGACCGCTGTCGACCGGTGTTCTCGACCGAGGACCGTTTTGAACACCGTGTGAACACCGAGAACACCGAGGACCGTGGTGTTAGACTGTACAGTCTGTGCAGTCTGTGCACCGACTGGGTCAGTGGCTATATAACAAAGGATTAATAACAAAGGATTAATAATGGGTGCATCAACGGCATGATATAGTTAGTGAAATGGTTTGCCTAAGTTGCTGCTTGGGCATGTCTAAATGGAGAAGGGTCCTGTCGCCAAAATCAGCAATTGTGGAAGTCTATATCAAGCATCAAAATTCTGGTGGCTAGCATTCTCTCATGCTATGTGAGAGATTGTCAAACAAATCCAAGGACTCAAGGAGTCAAGAATAGTCCACAACCTTGTCTACTGCGTGGAGATGACTGAATCAAAGAAAACAGGTCTGACATGCCACAGGATAATCAATGCAGCTTGTTGTGGGAATCTAGTAGAGTGCAATGTAGAATTGACACAGCACGAGGCCAAAAACATCAAATGTGTCAACATGTCTCTTGGATGTCCACAAATGTTGTCCACTTCTGGGTGATGCCAGCATGAAGGGGCTATTCGGGATTGTTGATTCATCTCCTGTATCAGGAATCATCCATCTACATCCATAAAGTCAGTAAAGTTCAATTAGCAACCACAAGCCTAGCCCGGCCAGTGAATGTCTGGTTCCAGGTCATAAAACCCTCCCCCTGCTCGCGTTTAAAAGGCGTTCCTTCTCCACGGCACTGCTGCTAGCCAAGAGCTCATTGCTCCCAAAGCCTTGACCTCCAAATCGAATCGAAAAGAAATTGAAGGTCCAAATCCCCTTTTGCATCTAATGAGTGGACGGAGATCCACAAAACGAGCGGCAAGGATCCGGAGCGAGAAACAAAGAGTTCCACACATGGTTATTGTCCATACCCGAAGGTGTGATCTTGCACCAACACCTCAGGGAAAATCCACATTCCAAGACATAAAGTCCATCTAGGAGAGGACATGCACAATCAGACAATTGGTGGAAACTCAACGCTTTTTCGGTCAAAAGACAATTTAATGATATTGTTTCGCTCATAGCTCATGATTGCCACAGTCCATTTACTGTGCCACATGATTTCCAGGAAGAAGAACCAACACCATGAATTGCCTGCTACTTAATTCACAGAAAGTATATATATCTTATACCTTGTATATATATATATAGCTTATATATATAGTGTAGACCTTGATTAATAAGACCCTCATATGAAGAGGATTTCCTATTCAACTGGGTGGGTTTATTTATCAAGAGTCTACATTAGAGAAGACGACATTCACTTATGTTGGTGCTATGAACACCCAAAGACCCTGTTTCTTTACAATGAAGGCCAGGTGTCGCAACCTTGAAACCTTAACACGTGGCAGCCGCTAGCTGCGCGGCACAGCCGCAAGTGGATCATGGCCATCACAGTCATGTACATGGTCTCGTGTCGCATGAGCATCCTGACTGCATGTCTGTCCTGCATGTCTGGACCTCCCATCAGTCCCCAGTCCCCTGACATGCACCATGCACCCGAGTCGGGACCCCAAACGTCGTCCGAGCCAAACCCCATTCCTCGGCAGCTGCACCGTGGGTTCACACCGTTTTTCAGGGTCCATGGGATCAGTCTTCCACCGGTCTGGGGGTCGTCCCGGCCTTTCACATAGAGCATCGTCTCCCCCAAAGTGCCGACGAAGACCTGCGTCTGCGACGCTGCTTTCGCTAGCTGCTGCGCAAGAAACGCCGAGAAGGGAGTATAGTATATATATGCTTGGAAAGCACAGCAACAAGCTCTGTGTGCTTCATACAAACTTCAATGAAGCAAGAGGGACACTAATGTGGAAGCACGAGGACAACCATGGAATGGGATTCAGTTACTAGGTTGCTAGGTTAAGATATGTTCCATCTCAAATCTGGCGGATGATGCTGGCTAGAGACACGGATGCAACAAAGAACATGAATTTTGACCGACTATTGCCAAGAATGGGGTTGACCACAACAATGCAGATGGAAAGGTATGTATCCAAACGCTTTGGAGGGCTCGACATTCTGTTCAAAGTCCTGAGCTCGAACGAACTGTACATAGAAAAGAGTCCTACGTCGCGTCTGCTGAGAAAGAGACAGAGATAGCCAGAGAGCAAGCAAGGGAGCAAGCAAGGGAGCAAGAGAGCAATCGATGATTTTCCAGTTGGCTATATATATATATATGTCCTTCGATGATTTTTCACTTGGATCATCTTGGATCAAGCAGCCTGGCATAGCCTGGCATCCAGTTCCCAGTTCCCTGTCTCTCTCTCTCTCTCTTTCTTTTTCTCTCTGCACCTCGTTGTTCTCCAACTCCTCAACGGTGCATTGCCCATAGCCGACGGTCGAGATGCAGTTCACCTCGCGCGTTGCATCGGTGGGCGGGAAGGTCCCGTGGTCCGCCGGGCGGGTGCGGTGTCGTGATGGTTTGGTAGGTCCGCAGGGCAGTCGTCCAGTCGAGGGGTACCTGCTTCACAAAGCATGTTGGTTTGGATCAATTGGTCACCTGCTTTTGTATTATTTTGTACATTTTTGTGCTTTCTGTATGTGAATTGCAAGCCGCAAGCCTCTGGGAGAAGCAGTCCTGCAACCCCCCAACGCATGCGGTCGTTTCTTCCAATAGTCTAGGGAGGGTGGTTGATGTTGAATCTCAGATGTGCAAACCTCCGAAGCACTTCATTCAGATGTGCAGTTCCAAGACATCCAGAAGTGGAGCGAGGCATCCACCGAGTTCCACCCAGGATCAACTCCTGGGGCGGACCAGTCCAAACCCTCAAGTCGGACAGGTCGGACACGCCGATCCGCACATCCCCCCTAGACTTCACTCATCCACCCCGCAACCCCAGAAAGGGTCAAGTCAGCCCGCCCCTGCAGCCGTCGGGTGTTCGGCACGGCACTCCACTCCTCGGTGTCCGTGTGTCACGTCGTCGCCGGGCGCAGCACAAACCGCACCGCCCAAGGTACGAAGGGCGCTGCGAAGGAGATGCTCTCGGCCGCTTGACCCACCAATGCCCCGCCCAAGCGCAGCTCCAAGGGCAGGTCCTGGGTTTTGGGGTTCGGAGCGAGGAGCGGAGCGCGCGTCCCTTCGGGGGCAGGAGCGGAAGAGCGGAAGATCCGTTCGGCAGGTGTATCAGTTCGACCCTGCCAGTGCCATTGGTGCAAGCTCGGTATATACAGAACATCCAATTGCATTATGATACAAGCTTTGCAAGGATATCGCCAAGTATACCATCACATCTTGACATCTTTGTCTCCTGCCTATCCAACGGTCCTGCCTATCCTGGATAGTGAAGTTGGGAAAGTCCAGTGAAGTGAGAAAAGACAGAAACAGTTAAGACATGTTAAGACCTGAGGGAGTTGACAAATCTCATAGTGGGCTGTTCTCTTTCTTTCGAGCTGCCGGAGATGACAAGTTGACGACACTTGGGTAAGCTAAGTTTAAAAGAACACAGGGCATAATTAGCTCACTTGCCTACCAGTACTTCCAACAGCTTGTTGAACTATGAAATCGAAATCCCGTAGAGTCAGGCGCTGGCCCCGCTGTCTATCTGGGCGGAGGTCGAAAATCCAAATCCTGCTTCGAAGGTTGTTTTTGTTCATTTTGACGATGTCTTTTCAAGTGTGCGTGAAAAAAAAAAGGGCTTACACCAGCCCGTACTATCAGGAACATCAATCATCTCTCCCCAAAACCTCTTTCTCTCCATACCCGCCCACCGCTTACACCCCCCGACATCTACCCATACCGTGACGCTTTTTCCACGACGAATCCCATTGACCGGCCTTCCCGGCACCAGAGATGGTCGTCAGGAGCACATAGACTTGGCTCAAGGGATCCTCCCTAGGCAGTGAGGAGTCGAGTACGCAAGCAGCCAGGATTGTGAACATGTTCCTCTTTGATGGCGATGGTGATGAGAAACATAGAGTGGTGCATCACAATCTATGGGGTCTTGGGTTAGATTCGGTTATATAGATTGGCGGGAGCATAATAGCCGTGTTGAACCTAGACTAGCTTTGAGAGGTGTCTCCACGCCTGAATCTTGTGGCGAGACTACAATTCATCAACCTGATGAAAGGCTCATCAAAATCCCTGTTCCACCTTGTTTAACAGTGTAATTATTGACAAAAAAAAAATATATATATATATATGACACTATATGACACTGTATTCCTGATCCCAGGTTCAATTGAAGCTGAAACTTGAATCTCTACGATCAAGTCATCCCAATTGGATGGCTGAATCTAGTCTGCGATCCCCCCAAAGCTTGCGCTACCCTTGACGACGTCAGGTGTTCAGTCCTCGCCCACTGAGTATAGCTCCAAGGTTGGAAAACCCCCGGTCCTCACAGAGCTGTCCCAATTGTATGGTTTCAGAGAAGATGGCACAATACCCAAGTTATATAGGTGGTTTATATTTGGACCCCCATCTCAAAAACCTCTTGCGGGGCCAGTGCCATCTACGTACTCCAAAACTACTGTAACCAAAAATCCCCCTGGAAATAGCACCCCCGACTCCCAGCCAGGTCGCTGCAAATCCGCTCGCGGTGCTGCTAAGGTGGCCTGCCGGCTGTAGTATCTGCTTGAGCAGTTGGTTTCGAGCTGCTCGAAGGTGGCACTGTAAAACCAAACAAAGGGAGTCTGGAATGAAGGAGTAGAACACATATACCCTTCAAAATGGGTCCAATCTGTCTTGAAGTATCTTTGACAGATATGAATTCAATCATAAATATACAATCAAAAGGAAAACCCAACAATGCCCAACAACGAAGAAAACCAACCCGTTCGGCCCTTTCTCTTCACAACGACGGCGGAACCCAAACACATTCAGACCGATGGACCGCCTGTGGAAAGGGTCCCAAGTAAAGGATCAAGTCATTCCAAAGCTCTGCTGGCAAGGCATCGTTGTTGTAGGTCACCACCACCTGGCAAGGACAGGACGGCCAAAACGTGGGATGTGGGCCCGAGACCAAACCTCCAGTAGTGTGGTCTCGGTGTAAAGCAAAACAGGAGGTCCGTAAGGTCAGTGTATGGTGTCGAAGAGGACGGCAGATGTTCTTTTCAGCCAGTTACATGCAGGAAACCTTCAACACCGTGTGTCCGACTATGTCCGAGACTGCTCATCGGCAGCTCATCAAATACGAGTAGATCTTCGAATCACCAGTCACTGGTGTTCGAATTCCCAACCACCAGCAGCTCCAAAGGCAGAGGGAAATTTTGGAGAACAAACCATGGGGGGGTGCACATAAACCAACCACTCTTTGACAGGTGCCGGCAGGTTTAAGTTCAGGTGACTTCTGCAGTTCGGCAGGTCAAGTGATATTTCATCTCGGGGACTCGGGGACGCTACGCCATGCGACCGCATGGTGCGACCGCATGCTTTGGCTTCCCCAAAGAAGAAAACGCCTATGGGACTGGCAGATTTGCCTAGATTGACCCCATTTGACCCCCTAAAACCATCCCAATATGACGTCAGTTGCATGGAGTCTCTGGGTTCCTTCATTGAGTCAAAACCCGGTGTTTCACCGCCACTCGGCATCCAACCGCAGGCACTCGTATCATCCCTATCACTCCTCAAGCAACACCCACCTATCACGTCCACAGGCCTAATGTCGACTCTTGATTATAGTTCAACATATAATATAAGGGTGTTCAATGTCTTTCATGGATGTTCAATGAACATGGGGGGGGGGGTATTTTTATGGCCTATAAATCAAGAGGCTACAATACAACTATATATATATATATGTGGATAATGGGCACCCCTACCCTCCAATAGGCACGCCTTTGTGACTGCTGGTATATACACACTACTACAAGAATCTCCACCATCTCCACCTCCAGCTGCGCCGTGCAGGTCCGGTGGTCCATTCACTCGACCGTGCGCGCGCGCCTGCAAACGGTGCCCATCGTCCACCTCGGAGATGTTCACTGCGTCGCCATTGGCCTTAGTAGCAAGGACGCTACCAGTAGCTCCTGGCATCGCTACTAGTAACAAGGGTATCGCTACAAGTAGCAAGGACGCTATTAGGAAGTGAGGCCTTTCTGCAAGACAAAAGAACACCTAAGGAGGAACGGAAGACCCAGCGGGTCTTCCCAAATTCTTTCCCACTGGATTTGATTTCCTTTCGCTTGTAGGTTGGAGGCCATCGCACTGGGTTTGGTTCAGCTGGGCGAAATTGGGTCATCTGTCTTCTGTCTGCTTCAATGAAGAGGACAGGGCAGCCTGTGGTTGAGATTCGATGTGGCCAGAAATATCACGGTGAGGTTCCTTCAAGATCTACACATAATTTTGGGGACTCAGTCTAGTGATGCCCACGATGCCAAACTGATGCCGCGAGGAACTTGATGTCCCCATCTTCTTCAACACTCTCCGAGCGTATACACCTAGACCCTGTGACCCTGAGTGACAGTTAAAACCTGGTCCTAAGTCTCATTGACTCATGTTTTGGTATGACCAACTCCAGTAAAATGAGGTCAAACTGACCAGTAGGGCTACCGGTCAAATGAGGTCTTGGATTCTGTTACACTATGGCCCTCTTTCAGAATCGACCTTCAAAGTTCAAAGGGTGAAGCTTTAAAGGCAGCAGGCTCCAATCCCATCCCAATCCCCACAGAACCCAAACTCTCCCCTTCGGCGCGCGCGCGCGCGCGGTCACGCGCGCCAACTCTCCCGACCGCATTGGACCGCAGCGGCCTTCGTCACCTGTGGCTTGGCCAGCTCGAAGCGCAGCCGGAGTCCAAAGACCTCGGCGCTCCGCCGGGGCCGAAGAAGGGGGACCACGGAGCAGAGCCGCGGCTGCGTCCGAAGCGAGGACCACGGCCACCGCTGCGCCCGCTGCGCCCCCGCGGCGTTTTGGTTGGCACGTGTTGTCATGATTTGGGTGTTTGGAGGATGTTTGCTTCGGATGTTTGCTTCGGGGTGGTCGGAGTGAGGGGTTTCGGTGAAGGGTTGGCGGACAGAATTTCATCACGTGCTGAATGATTGAAACATCTGGACCAGCACATATAGCGATGGTTGAGGATGTTTCCATCAAGGTCCACATCTTTTAGCCACACTGGCAAGAATCTATAGTATCAATATCCCATTTCCAGTAACAGTGGATTATGGTGAGGTTCCAGGATGTTCCAGGCCTTTCTCTCTCTAAAATGCTTGTGCCCCTTTCACCGTTCCTGTCACCACGACGGCGTGTACCACCCATTCGGGAGACCGAAATAGCTCGACAGACCCGAACGGTTCCATTGGCTGGGTGTCTCCCTATTCAAAAACACACCCCGAGGGGGTGGATGTTAGCGTGTCTGTTCTTTGTTTGTATTCTTTCTTGTCATTTTTTTGTGTGTGGTCTTACAATATTCTATATAAATACATTCACACACACCCATCATAACCATCTCTCTCCCATCATAACCATCCACCGGCCGGTCACTGCCGCTCCATCCGGCCGTTTCGACACTCCGTTGACGGGACCGGACCGTCCATGGGGACTTCTCGTGAGCGTCACTCTTTAGTGCATGACATGTCTGGAGCAAATACCAGTATATAAAAACGTCTGGAGCAAAGAAAGCGCCTTTTGGTTCCATACCAGAAAGCCTAAGACTTCAGACCCTCCTGTTGTTCTGTGTCGTATATCCTTTCCACAGCGCCCCAACACCCCAGAAATCCAGCCAACATGGACACGATCCGGCCTGGATCTGGTAGACCTTCAGCGAGCAGCCACAGCCAGCCGTCACCGTCACCGTGAAGGTCTCTGTGACCAGGACCTCGCGCTCAGTGAAAGCGGTGTGGAAAATGAGGACGTCCTCTTCCTAGAAGGGTCTACCAGATTTCTATATGACTCAAGAATACTCAAGATACGACCCGATATGTCCAACGTTTGCTTGCCGTTCCCATGGATGTTGAAAAAATCATTAAACATTCCACTTTAATCTCCTGAGTCTTGGAGACCATCACCATCTCCTTTTCCCATTCACCGCCGTGTACAGACCACGCAGCGCCGCATAGACCTCGCCATCGTCCCCATCGCCTCCTCCTCGGGCAGCGTCAGCACCGCCTCCGAGCCATTGTGGCTGGAGGCCGCCACCGCTTGCGATGCCTCGGCAGAGAGGTCGTCGTTTCAGTCAGCTGCAATCCGAAGTCGGTTCGGATTTGGGGGGCGAGCCGGTTGGAATGGCTCCGTTTGATGGCGCCTACACTTTGGAGCCTACACTTCGGCATAGAAATTGGATCTTCTATCATCTTGTATGTGCAATAGAATAAGTAACTGGTACAAGGGCCGACGCCAAGACAGAACATAGACCAGCTCTCTGACCTGTATCGCCGCGTGAACTCCCTCGCAACAAAAATAAACAGATGTTTGAATATTGTTGTATCCGGATCTGGAAAAGCATTGTGGCGATCCAAAAAAGGCGTTCTGGATGTTCGATAAAGTGTTCGATCAAGTCAGCAGCTTTCTGGCTCATGTCCACATGCCCATCCCTTAGTCCCTCATGTGGGGCTTACACCACCCCATCCAAGCCATGGATCATGAGAAAAAAAGCCCTTCTTGCGTCCCAAGGGGCACTAATTGAGTTCACCAGCATGTTTTGACGACAAACATCATACAAGGCACCCGAATACAAGGAAAGACTCATAGAGTGCATGGGCTACAAGCATCGGCATGACCTGAAAAAAGAAGAAACGACCAGCCACTAGGTCAATCCATGTTCTTTTTTTTTGGGGGGGGGGGGGGCTCGCAGACTCACTGTCTTGTGGCCTCTTTGGGGTGGGGGTGAAA